TTTCATCAAGTCAGTGGAGTGTCATTTAAGATCGGAAAATGAAAGTGATCAGTTACTTAAAAAGTCTCTAAACTCTTTTTTACCTTGATTGTTTGATGAGTTATTTTTGTTCTTGATAAATAGAGGAAAGCCCAATAAACATTCATGAAATATTAAACGGTTAATGTTGCCTATAGAAGTAAACTGTAAAAATTTTGATAATTCATTCTTTATTGTAGGGATATGCCTTCAAAACTATTGCAATTAATTTAGTGAATCATTGCTATTACTTATTAAACAATTTTTTGTATGAAAACGAAAACTGATTTGTGTATTCAAATTATGAGCATATTTTATTTTTTAGTTATGACTTTTTTGATCTGGATGATTGAAATTTGAACATTCTAAATGTTTGATGTTTATTTTCTTATTTAGGTATACATTATTAATTTATATGATGCAAATCTTAAAATTTAAGAAATGAAATTAGAACCAAATCAAACAAAACCAGAACCGAATGGTTTAGTTCAGTTTGGTTTCATATCTTTAAAAAAATCATTTGGTTCCATTATTAAAAAAACCATTGGTTCATGGTTCGGTTCGGTTCTCTTGGAACCAGAATCATATGAAACCATGTCCACATCTAATCATAAGAAACTAATTGGCTGCAATTAGATAAAAAGAATTCGAAATAACATAATTTTATTTTTTATTTGAATGTATTAATACAGGGTTCCCTAGTCAAACAGTGAAACCACACACGTAAATTGGCTGGAAATGATCAAATTCAACTTATCTAGTGGCTGCCAAAACTTTTTACTTGCTTGATTAACTTTAATTAAAATAGTACTCCGTTTGAACTACAATAACTTTGGCATAACTTATCTAAAGTAATTTTTTCTCAAGTACAAAATTCGAAATTTAATATGAGTTTCGAAACAATCCCAATATTGATATGAAATTTCTCTCTAGATTAATGCTTGATTATTTGATTGAAAGCTAAAATTTTAACATAAAGACTTATTTTCAAATTAGTCCCTCGATATTTCAAAATTAACAAAACATGTCTAGATAAAAATTTATTTTCGGTTGCTACAGAAAGGGCCTGAATCGAGGAGCAGCTCAAAGAGAACTCCAGACGATGAACAGAAGAAAACTGAACTGGCACACACACCAACAATATGAGTAGGGTTGGCCCAATTTATGAGGCCGAAAATCATAGATCCAACGCCTCGAAAACCGCCACATGTAATGTCAGATTTTCGCTTTAATAGAAGCCAGAAATCGCATTTTCACGAAACACGCTTTTAATAAAATTGGTCAACTGGTCTACAGGACGAATTGTGAGGCAGTAAAAAATCTCCACTTCGCTGAACCAATTTGGCTTCAAATCTGGAACTTCACAATAAACGAGTCACTTGCTCTTGTAAACTTTGAAAACCAAAAATTTTGAGTTGGGGGGGGGGGGGGGGGGGGGGATTTTTTTTAAGTAATATTTGGTGCGGGGGGGGGGGGGGGGGAATGAATTTTTGAATAGTGTATTGATGAGAAATATGTAGTTAAAAAATAAAGAAAAATTTTAGATTTACTTGAAATATTATTTTATTGAAGAATGTGCGGTTGAAATGACGTCAAAGTACTGTAGAAAAATGCATTTTTTCCCAAAAAATGGGGATCAAACAAGCGTTCAAAATATTCTAAACATCACACCTCCAGGTAATATTTAGGATTTTCAAGCAATCTCTAAATCTATTTAAAGGCAGAACTTTAGTACAAAAGTAAGAAGGATTAAATTCAATAGGAATTTTAAACCTATGTAATCATATCTTTAACAACCATGTTCATTACAAAATGAATTTTTACACTAACATGTTTAATTCTATCATGATCACAAGATTTTTACCAAGATGAACTACACTTAAAATTATCTATATATAAATTCTAAATATTTCATCAATAAAGTCAATTTCCTTCAACAGACCTCTTAGCCACAATCCCTCTTTCATATCATCACAAGTTCCTATATATTCCGACTCAGTAGAAGACAAGGCCATAATTTTATGCAGTTGGGATTTTCAGTTATTCTAACCATAAAAAATTGCGAAAATATAAGATATTGATCTTCTTTTATCTAAACCACCTGCAAAATCAAATTTTTTTTTATATCTTTTCAAGATTATACCTTCATTACACTTTTTAAACTTCAAATCTAGTTCAAGCGGCTATTTTGGATGTCTTAACTTCCATTTTATTTCAATCCTCTCACCTAGATTTGATATAAACTTGCTTAAAATATTTGTGACATAAGATAAAACAGGTATGGTGTAGATTATCAAATACATAATACAACCTACATTACTAGCACGAGGTATTTTATTCATTCTTTTAAAAAAGGCCACATGTAATGTCAGGTGACTAATCACTTAACAGTTTAAAATAATTTGCAAGATTTAGAGAAACAAGTTTACAATTAGACATAAGAATAATTTCTAACACTTTGGATCCATATGAAAAATGATTCACCTAAATAGTACAATTCTTCTTATCTCTTTTGATTTTCATACCTAGGATTCTATTAGCTTGATCTAGATCTTTAATTTCAAAACCAGATTTTAACTTTGATTTAATTCTATCTATTTCTCTTCTATCATGGCATGCAGTTAGCATATCATCAACATAAATCAATAAATAAACAAGTTCAAACCCATCCACACCTTTATAAAAGTAACAAGAATCAAAGTTGATTTTGGCAATAGGTTTTAATATATGAATTAAATATTTATTACATTGCTTAGAGTTTATTTTAAGCCATAAAGTGATTTTATCAACAAATATACTCTTCCGGAGTTAGATTCTATCTCAAATCCTTTGGATTGACTCGTATATATAACTTCATCTTGGTCACCATTAATTAAAGCAAAATTTTGACAAAAGTATATTTTACAACGTGTGAAAATATCTATTCCTTCCTTTTGAATAAACCCTTTAGGTATTAACCTAACTTTATACTTTCTATTTTTCAGCATTGGACTCTGCTTTTTTAATCTTGTAAACCTATTTATGACAACCTACTTCTTGATTTTTAGGCTTATTAACAAGAATTCAAGTTTTATTTTTATTAAAAAATCCATTTCTTTCATGATTTCTTACAAAAAATAGATTCTTTATATTCTAATGTCTTTTTCATAAGTAGTAGGTTGAGAATTAAAGGAGTCCAAAACAAAAAAAATGGTTAAGTCAGCACTGCCCATTCTAGTAGAAGGAAACATATTTCTTCTACTCGTATCCCTAGTTAACTAATAAT